GTTGAACTACGACGTGCTGAGGTGCGATCTGCAACTAGCCTGTGTGAGTTGTTGGCTGCTCGATTCGACAGGTTGGACATGGAACAAGATGAGCTGGAGGAGATAGCTCGCTACTTTCGCCGTCATCCGTCACGTCTCTGTGTTGTACTTGACGGCATGGACGAATGCAGCCTGGAGAAATGTAGCCCGTACATGCAAGACATGCTGTTGAGGGAACGCAGTGTTGATATGCATGTGGTGGTCACATCTCGACCATGCGCCGATGCGTACAAGTTAAGCCAATGTGGAAAGTACCATCAACAACTTGAGGTTATCGGATTCTCACAAGAGAACGTGAAGACGTACGTGAGAAAAGTGGTGGGCGGAAAACAAGCAGAGGAGATGCTGGAGAAGCTGCATGCACAGCCGGACATGCTAGCATTGATGGGAACTCCATTATTTGCTGCTCTGGCATGTGAGCTGTACCACAGCGGACGTGGCTTGGCGAAATCGAGCACAGCATTGTACGAGTCGCTACTTCTACGTGTCTTGGAGCGGAATGCAGGCAAATTGCACGAGTCGTTTGCCGAGACGGATGCACGTGAGATGGAGTTGCTGTACGAGGTCTCCCGCTTTGCACTTGCAATGTTGTCGGTGCAAAAGGCCGTGTTCAGCGAGTCGGACGTGAAAAGCGCCGGTCTAAGTGATGCCGCTGTTCAGCTTGGACTCCTGATTGCTTACAAAGACGGCAGCTCGACTGAGAACCGACAGTACCGCTTCGCTCACCTGTCCCTACAGGAGTTCATGTCGGCATGGTATCTGTCACGCGAAGTGCTGAAGGACGAGCAAGACGCGGCATGGCTGGTGAAGAGAGTCGGTCATTACAGTGGTCACATGACAATGTTCTGGCGCTTCGTCATCACACTGCTACCGCGCAAGCCCTCGTTCGTCGTCATGGAGCATCTCTGGCGGCTTATCTGTGAGGAGCGTATATCGTCGACATCGGACACTGCCGACTCTCGTCTTGTGGCTGACATTGTCAGCTACTTCCATCGCAAGTCTGCACGTCCGGGTCTTGAAAGGATGCAGTCCATGCTTTGCGCAACGCTAACGTATGAGAAAATGAAAGAACTGGCCTACAAACTGCTGGACGAGACGTGCGGTGAGGGCAACGGCTGCCAACGTGTCGAGAGCGCTTTGCCACGGGGGAGAGAGTTGACGGATGAACTATTTCTGTCAACTCTCATCGACGTGTGGAAGAAGGAGGCAGTGGATCCCAACACGGAAGTATTCCTCGCTGCTGTGCGCAGCGTCAATCCCGTCGCGGCATTACAATGCGAGCGTGTGATGCGTCCGAGCACCAAGACGCCGGTCACATCATCCACCGAGGACGCTACTGCTACTGCTATGCCTGCAGTTCGTCCAGCGAAGTCGACCGAGGAACGGCGCTATCTGGTTCATCTTCTGGTGGCTCATCATGAACACTGCCAGTATGAAGGTGCGTCCTGTGATGGTCATTGTTCATTCTTTTCACAAGTGTTTCACAAAGGCATTAGCTTTCGTTCTGTAAGCCTATCTCTTTTTGATTGTGTATCTATTGGGCACTTTCTCAGCACACATTGTTGCTTTGATAGCAGTACCATTGGTTTCTCTGGCTCTCGCTGTGGAAATGCTGGTCTGCGAAGCGTTGCTGCTGGTCTGTCGCACTGCAAGGGTGTACGCACGCTAGATCTTAGCTTGAATGCATGTGATGATGGCATTATACTGTCGTCCATCATTCAGTCTTTGTCAGGCAGTCTAGAGGATGTCGATGTGAGTCTTAATCCTGTAGGTAGTGATGGTGTTGTATCAGTGTGTAAAGCATTGTCTACTTGTTCTAAGCTGAGTGGAGCCGATGTGCCCCCTGGTGTACGTGTAGTAGGTGTACGTGTTGTCCCTCTGTCATGTGTTAGTGAAGTTGTTGAGTCATGCCCTAACCTGTGTAAGCTGGATGCACAGGGGTGTGGTTTCCAGTATGATGATGATTGTTTGGAAAGGTTTGTCAGAGCTGTTCAGTCTCATGCTGTGTTGCGTACACTACTAGTTACACAGTATCTTCGTGAGAATGCCAGACTGGTGTCCCGGCTTAAGCAGCTTGTCCGTGACCCTACCTGTACCCTGTCCTCACTTGTGTGATGGTGATGACTGTGTTAGTAGTATGTGTACATTATGTGAGTGTGTAGATGATTAGTTTCCTGATTCGTCTCTTGAGCACAGACCAGCAGCAGCAGCAGCAGCAAAGCCTAGACCAGTTCTTTTTTTCTACCTATCTAATGTACATAGAGAAGACACTACTGTCGTCAAACTTGAATTTTCATTTTTCTATTGATTGAAATAATTTCCATGTCTATACCCCACTCTCGTAGTACAACCACTGTAGAGAATACATTGTATTTTTTCTTAGTAGCTCTGCTTATAACAATCTCTTTTCCCCGAGTGTGTTTTTTTTTCTTGAGTATGTTTTGCTGTTCATAAACTCGTGTCTGGCTGACTGATCACGGCCAAGTTGTAATAGTTATTATAATGTTCAAATGTAATATCGACCCCTGGTCGAATCTCCTGACGATCAAATGTGCTGAGATCGTCTTTGACATTGTGTGATACCGGACTGTGTGTGCGTGTGTGGGCACATGGGCGAGCGTGTCTGTTGGGTTCGGGCGGTGTGTGTGCGTGCCCGCTGCTTTTGGACTGCGCCAGGCCGCGGTTGTCACCGGTGCTCGAGGACTGGTCCCCGCCCGACTACCCAGCAGTGTAATTCGTTCTCTCATGTATGCGTGTGTTCTCGCCGGTTCCGTTTGCGCCACCATCTCCGGCGTCATCAGGCTGCGTGCTCCATCTTCCTCTCTGATTCCCCTCCGGGGCCCACGTGACCCCTGTGGCAGTAGCTCTACTGGACAGGACATGTGTGTGTTCGTGTGTGTGTATTGGGGGGGGGGGGGGGGGGTGCATGTGTGTGGCAGCTAGTTTGGTTGGTGGGTACGCTTCTGCCAGATGGTGTTGGGTCTGTTGCCAACAGGCTTGGCTGCTTGAAGGTGTAATGTTGTACCTGCCACCTTTGTTGCTTTCATGGTTCATATACTTTCTATTTGAAGTATACATACCTGTTAACCATGGAAAACCTCTGGCTAAATTAACTCTTGTGTAATCAATGGTGCTAGTGAAGCTTATATCAGATCCACTCTGATTTAGCCACCCACATTAGTAGCAAGTATTACTTTCACTGGGGGGGGGGGGGGGGGGCAGGGCCACCTGCAGTTGGATCGCGGGACGGATACCCTGATGCTGTCAATCCTTAATTTTTCTGCACCTTGTCCTCACCCACTTACTGAGGTGTGATGAGCTCATAAGTGGGATCATTTCCAAGTCCACTCATAGTTTGGGGATTTCAGGGGGTGTCGGACGTTGGGCCATACAATAGCGAGTCATCTTTCCAAGATTCCTTTTGAGTCTCCCTCCCCTCTCCCTGGGAGACCCACGTGACTAGTTTTGGTAGTGAACAAGTACAAGTATAAGTGTGTGTGTTTGTGTGTGTGTATGTTTGTGTGTGGGTGTGGGTGTGGGTGTGCACGCGCGTCTGTGTGTGTGTGTGTGTGTGTGTGGTGTGGACGTGTGTGTGTGTGTGTATGTTTGTCCGTCGGTGTGTGTGTGTGCGTGCGTGAGTGCGTTGACAGTTTCCTAACGCAGGTTGATCTGTATCACTACAATGTAGTGTTGAGTGATTACAGCAGGGTGTGTCGTGAAAGCCTTCAGCTCTCCCTGTACTGGTTGACACTGATTTTCACACACCCTTACCAACACCGTACCTTGCACTTGTACACAAACCCAGTACCAGCTCACTAGAACACAGCTTTTTAGATCACACTTCGCTCACTCAAACTCAGCTCTGTGGTTCACACTTCGCTCACTCCAACTCAGCTCTGTGGTTCACACTTCGCTCACTAGAACTCAGCTCTGTCGATCACACTTCGCTCACTCGAGCTCAGCTGCTGCTCTGTGGTAGATCTACACCTCACCAGGGAGTCGTAAAGCCAATACGACTCCCTGATCTACCTGTCCCCGGGGAAAATTTCCATTCCGCGGCCGCGTTTTTTTCCGCGTTTTTTGCGATTTTTTAAAAGACCGCGTTTTCCGCAATTTTCCCGCGTTTTTTGAACTTTTTTGTTGCACTACACGTACACACAGTGCACTGTTCGGTCAGAAACGTCTCATCCTGGCGGCTTTTTACTCAAATATGACGAGTGCTTACACTAGAGACTTGTAACTGATTGATTTCACTACATACTCACTGAAAATTGCCGCACATCAATATTATTCACCGCATATTTACTGCAAATTCACCGCAAATTATGCCATATTATGCCGCGTTTTTTCCCGCGTTCTTTGCGATTTTTTTCCACAATTTTCCCCGGGGACAGATCTACACACTTCGCTCACTCGAGCACACCTCAATTTCTCACACTTCACTCGCATTACGTGTTACATGACAAGACACGACTCAATCAGATGATGTGCTCTGACTGAATCTGAGTCTGAAGGCAAAGTCAAAATTGTTGAAATCATCTTTCCTGTTCATATGTGCACATGGTTTGTGTGTTTGAGTCCGTCTCTCTTGTTGTGTGGTGGTGACCTTCTAGGTGACATGGTCTGCAATGTCCGCTACAAGTGGTATTACGTTAGTTGTGGAATCCAGCAGTCACCTAACAACACGGTGACTGGCTATACTCAATTATCTCCTAGTGTTTCAAACAGTCGAGAGTAGAACACCAGCTGGCGATGGTGAAACAATGTTTGTACCGCCGAGGCAGGTTGAGGTTTGTGGCCTAACCGGAACGCAACTGTCGACACAACGTTGCTGGACAATTCGTCACAAGTTCCGTACGGTCAAAATTCTGCTGAGAATGTCACAGGGAATGGACATTTCGTTTGATAAATTCCCTACAGTCTACATTCCACTGGCTATGACTCTATGAGACCGATAGTGGCCATTTCGTCACAAGCCTCGTAAAGTCAACATTCTGTTAGGCATACGACTCGTATTGAACAGCAGTTTATCAGCTCGGTGATCTGGTGATACAACCTTCGGTAAGTACCCGTACTCGCTATGATGGTGAAGTGTGGTCTGTGTAAAAGGTCACGGTGTGTGTGTGTGTGTGTGGGGGGGGGGGGGGTGTGCGCGTGTGGGTGTGTGTGGTGTGTGTACGCGCGTGTGTGTGTGTGTGTGTGTGTGTGTTTAAAACATAATGTGTGATAAATAGTGGTGTTGTGTTGTAAAGATATTGAGCAGTTACAGAGACAGTAGCATGTATCTTTGAACTCCAAAAAAACTTTACTTTAGCGCTTGCACCCGAATGCATCAGAGCAGTGTATAGGAAATGGGAGAGCCAAGTGACTACATGCAATGGAAAGTCACAGAGCAAAGCTGCATGCATACCCACGTATTCTCACAACACCGCACAAGGATGATTGGGGTACACCAGTGTGCTGGTTTCGATCAACTGGTGAAGCGATTGGCGTTGCAAACAGCCGAAGTGATCGCTCATGACTGAGCCGCAGCAGTACCCGCGACCGGGTGCAAAGTTTCCTGATCGACGTTGCAAACAGCCAACCAGGGTGAAGTAATTGGCTTTCTCAAACGGCCAAAGCAATCGCTCTTGCTTGAGCAGCAGTAGTACCCGCGACCGGGTGCAATGACTACTGATTGGCGTCGCAAACAGCCGACCAATAGTATGCAATTTTAAGCAGAGATAGTAGCAGCAAAGAAACCAGTTGAAGGAAGCTGTTCCCAGAAAACCAGCACACCGCATCCCAGCAAGCGTTCACCGCCAATGCACGAGAGCTAAGAACAAGTGATCAAGGCACGACATGGATTATTTATTTATTAATTTTACTCCAAGAAATACATGGCTGGGGTAGCCAATGACCACTTTGCGTGGCAATTGCAAGGTTTTTATAGCCAACCACGCCTAACAAGGAAAAGAGTAAGAAGTCAAAAAGAAAAGGAAAAGAAGCAAATATGGAGCAAAATTGTGGTCTACTTGTAAAGCAAGGCGTTCCTGAATGCTGTTAAAGTAGAAAGGCCCTTTGTCTCCTGGTGCAGCTTAAGCCAATGCAAATAGCCATTGAAAAGGGGGGGAGTGTAGCAAGGCAGAAGAGCGGGCTAGAGGAAGGGAGAGTTGGTTCCTAGTGGAGCTATCCCGTCGGAACCAGTCAAATGGTTTTTAAACCATTTGACTGGTTCCGACGGGATACTACTGTCTTGTTCTTAGCTGTCGTGCATCTTAAAAGATGCACGAGAGCTAAGAACAAGACAGTAGTGATTAAGGCACGAGATGGATTATGGCAGGCATGCAGACGATGAAATCCAACGCAGGTTCTCAATACGGCAATTTTGCAATGATAATCGGTACCTGTATGTCCAGGTTGTAGCAAATAAACTGGAATGGCAGCACTGCTGGGTCTGGTTGTGCTTGAGCAGCTGGGGCGAGACGCCGGAATTCCTCCATGCGGAAACGAGACAGCGAATCGGCAATGCAGTTAGACTGGCCAGCAATGTGAGCAGCAGTGACGGTGAAATTGAAGCCGGTGCACACAAAGAAGAGCTCCCTGAGCAGGGTCATGACTGGCGGTGACTTGGATGTGCCGGAGCAGATGCAATCTACCACAGCCTTGTTATCACAGTACATTGTGTGACGAGTGTCACGTGAACTGTGAATTGTGGAACTGTACTGCTTATCACTACCTTGGTTCCCACTCTGCTTCAAATCCATCAAATACCAAGCGTCATGAACGTTGGCGGCCTGACAGGTGATAGAGATTGGTAAATATGGCCTGAAAAGCGGATGGCATGGTATGCGGACCTGCAAACACTGGCTTCAAAAGCATTAGGCACGCCACTGTTGGGTTTTGATATCTGTATTAGAGATGTGCACGGGTAGTCGGGTACCGGTGCTACCCGTGAGGACCTCGGATAGACGGGTACAGAATAGTACCCGAAAACCCAAAGTCGCAGATGACATCATGTACAGTGCATGTGTGCATACTCTGCAAGTCTACCCAGTGTGAAAGGGAAGGGGTGCATTGTGGTGTTACCATGGAAACATAAACCCGATCGGGTACCCGTGGTACCCGTAGAAAACTACCCGAACCCGATACCAAAAGAAAATGCTACCCGGCTCAGCACCTATCTTTATACATGTAGAATCAAAATGAATTGTCAATGCAAGGTGAACAGAACAAGAACTGAGGAAAAGACTGCGATAACAGTGTATCAATGTACATGCTATGAATTGTACAGTGTGATGGCATACGTGCAGGAAGTGAGTGACAAGGCAACGTATGCGTAACAGTAAATAGTACGGCCGTGGACATTGAAATCCGATGGGATGACCGGGGCCGGCGCCTCATTGCTTTCAATGGGATGACCGGGGCCGGCGCCTCATTGCTTTCAATGGGATGACCGGGGCCGGCGCCTCATTGCTTTCAATGGGATGACCGGGGCCGGCGCCCTCATTGCTTTCAATGGGATGACCGGGGCCGGCGCCTCATTGCTTTCAATGGGATGACCGGGGCCGGCGCCTCATTGCTTTCAATGGGATGACCGGGGCCGGCGCCTCATTGCTTTCAATGGGATGACCGGGGCCGGCGCCTCATTGCTTTCAATGGGATGACCGGGGCCGGCGCCTCATTGCTTTCAATGGGATGACCGGGGCCGGCGCCTCATTGCTTTCAATGGGATGACCGGGGCCGGCGCCTCATTGCTTTCAATGGGATGACCGGGGCCGGCGCCTCATTGCTTTCAATGGGATGACCGGGGCCGGCGCCTCATTGCTTTCAATGGGATGACCAGGGCCGGCGCCTCATTGCTTTCAATGGGATGACCGGGGCCGGCGCCTCATTGCTTTCAATGGGATGACCGGGGCCGGCGCCTCATTGCTTTCAATGGGATGACCGCGGCCGGCGCCTCATTGCTTTCAATGGGATGACCGAGGCCGGCGCCTCATTGCTTTCAATGGGATGACCGGGGCCGGCGCCTCATTGCTTTCAATGGGATGACCGGGGCCGGCGCCTCATTGCTTTCAATGGGATGACCGGGGCCGGCGCCTCATTGCTTTCAATGGGATGACCGGGGCCGGCGCCTCATTGCTTTCAATGGGATGACCGGGGCCGGCGCCTCATTGCTTTCAATGGGATGACCGGGGCCGGCGCCTCATTGCTTTCAATGGGATGACCGGGGCCGGCGCCTCATTGCTTTCAATGGGATGACCGGGGCCGGCGCCTCATTGCTTTCAATGGGATGACCGGGGCCGGCGCCTCATTGCTTTCAATGGGATGACCGGGGCCGGCGCCTCATTGCTTTCAATGGGATGACCGGGGCCGGCGCCTCATTGCTTTCAATGGGATGACCGGGGCCGGCGCCTCATTGCTTTCAATGGGATGACCGGGGCCGGCGCCTCATTGCTTTCAATGGGATGACCGGGGCCGGCGCCTCATTGCTTTCAATGGGATGACTGGGGCCGGCGCCTCATTGCTTTCAATGGGATGACCGGGGCCGGCGCCTCATTGCTTTCAATGGGATGACCGGGGCCGGCGCCTCATTGCTTTCAATGGGATGACCGGGGCCGGCGCCTCATTGCTTTCAATGGGATGACCGGGGCCGGCGCCTCATTGCTTTCAATGGGATGACCGGGGCCGACGCCTCATTGCTTTCAATGGGATGACCGGGGCCGGCGCCTCATTGCTTTCAATGGGATGACCGGGGCCGGCGCCTCATTGCTTTCAATGGGATGACCGGGGCCGGCGCCTCATTGCTTTCAATGGGATGACCGGGGCCGGCGCCTCATTGCTTTCAATGGGATGACCGGGGCCGGCGCCTCATTGCTTTCAATGGGATGACCGGGGCCGGCGCCTCATTGCTTTCAATGGGATGACCGGGGCCGGCGCCTCATTGCTTTCAATGGGATGACCGGGGCCGGCGCCTCATTGCTTTCAATGGGATGACCGGGGCCGGCGCCTCATTGCTTTCAATGGGATGACCGGGGCCGGCGCCTCATTGCTTTCAATGGGATGACCGGGGCCGGCGCCTCATTGCTTTCAATGGGATGACCGGGGCCGGCGCCTCATTGCTTTCAATGGGATGACCGGGGCCGGCGCCTCATTGCTTTCAATGGGATGACCGGGGCCGGCGCCTCATTGCTTTCAATGGGATGACCGGGGCCGGCGCCTCATTGCTTTCAATGGGATGACCGGGGCCGGCGCCTCATTGCTTTCAATGGGATGACCGGGGCCGGCGCCTCATTGCTTTCAATGGGATGACCGGGGCCGGCGCCTCATTGCTTTCAATGGGATGACCGGGGCCGGCGCCTCATTGCTTTCAATGGGATGACCGGGGCCGGCGCCTCATTGCTTTCAATGGGATGACCGGGGCCGGCGCCTCATTGCTTTCAATGGGATGACCGGGGCCGGCGCCTCATTGCTTTCAATGGGATGACCGGGGCCGGCGCCTCATTGCTTTCAATGGGATGACCGGGGCCGGCGCCTCATTGCTTTCAATGGGATGACCGGGGCCGGCGCCTCATTGCTTTCAATGGGATGACCGGGGCCGGCGCCTCATTGCTTTCAATGGGATGACCGGGGCCGGCGCCTCATTGCTTTCAATGGGATGACCGGGGCCGGCGCCTCATTGCTTTCGATGGGATGACCGGGGCCGGCGCCTCATTGCTTTCAATGGGATGACCGAGGCCGGCGCCTCATTGCTTTCAATGGGATGACCGGGGCCGGCGCCTCATTGCTTTCAATGGGATGACCGGGGCCGGCGCCTCATTGCTTTCAATGGGATGACCGGGGCCGGCGCCTCATTGCTTTCAATGGGATGACCGGGGCCGGCGCCTCATTGCTTTCAATGGGATGACCGGGGCCGGCGCCTCATTGCTTTCAATGGGATGACCGGGGCCGGCGCCTCATTGCTTTCAATGGGATGACCGGGGCCGGCGCCTCATTGCTTTCAATGGGATGACCGGGGCCGGCGCCTCATTGCTTTCAATGGGATGACCGGGGCCGGCGCCTCATTGCTTTCAATGGGATGA